TTCAGGATGCTCCCCCAGGTCATCCAGCTTTATACAGCAGGGCTCCAGGACCCCATCCTACACTGATCACCTTTAGGGACTGAACTCCCCGTATCAGTGCCTGAATTAGAGTTCTTCACATGATATAATAATGTTCATAACGTTCTCAATTGCTTTCATAACTTTGGTTTGTTTGAGTCTCACAACAACCTTCCAAGATAAGCAATTGACACTTTTTTTTGAGTGGGGATCTTGCTCTGTGGCCAAGGCTGGAGTGCAATGGCAGGATCATGGCTCACTACAGCCTCGAGTTCCTGGGCTCGAGGAATCCTCCTGCCTCAGCCTCCTCAACAGCTGGTACTACAAGGTTATGCCACCACATCCAACAATTTTCTAAAAAATGGCAAAGACAGGGTATCGCTATGTTGCCCAGGCTGGTCTCGAACTCCTGGTCTTAGGGGATCCTCCCATCTCGTCCCTCCCAAAACTCTGGGACCACAGGCGTTAAGTCACTGCGCTCCACCGGGTCGATAGCCACGTTTTATGCAGAAAATGAAACAGAAGGTCAAGAGACCTGCCCAAAGTCCCTCAGCTAGGGAAAGAGCTCCGTCATGTAACCTCAGCTACTCCTCTTTCCCAGCACTGGTCCCGACCCGCCTCCTAGGCCTGGGGCTGACCTGGTGCTTCTTCTCGGTGTCCAGCCGCCGGCGTGAGTGCAGGGAGCTGAGCGCCTCCCGGAAGGTGGCGCGCAGCGCGCGCTCCATCAGCGCCTTGTGATAAGCTCCCGCCACGTTCCCGCACAGGAACAGCACCGCGTTCGCTCCCAACTGTGGGTGGATGCCGGCCTCAGAGGGCGCATGTCCCGGGTAGGGTTGGAGTGGTTAAGTACGGAGCTGGAGTTGGTCTCCAAGACCGGCTAGGGGAGGCCGGACTCTACAGTTAGAGACCCAAGTATTGCAGGACCTCTGGCGTCACACAGTGGGATCCGTAGGGGGCGTTTCCTCTCCCCTGCATTTCCCGCTCCAGACAGTTGGCTGCTGTGCCAACACGACCTCTTATGCCTAGAAACCTTAGCACGTACAGTTTCCTCTGCCTGGAATACCACTCCACCCTCCCTACCCGTCGCGCCCATTCCCGTCGCACAAAACTATTGTGACGCTCCGATTTTACCTTCTCCGAGTCGCCACGCCCCTAATCTGGGGGCAAACCACAACTCCCTTCCCTGCGGACTAGAACCCTCTTCTGGTATCGTTAGGCATGGCACCGCACTGGTGTCGGGGTCCATCTGTGTTTGCTCCCTGCGCCCAGCGTTGTGCCCTGCCTTGGAGTCACAACTCAGCAACCCCCGCCCCCGCGCCCCAAGGAGCCTCCAAGCGCGTGGCAGAACCCGCCCTGGGCGCAACCCGTGCTACTTGTGTGCTCACCTGCGGCAGCAGCGCAGGCCGCGAGTCCGGCTGCCGCCCAAGGTACAGCCCGAGGACCAGCAGGTGCGACAGCGAGGAGGCGAGGCCCGCGACAGCGGCGTCCCGCATGCCCAAGGGCAGCATGGCGTACACGGTGAAGATGACGAAGAGAAAAAAGGACACCTGGGGACGGGGCGCGGGTAGCTGAAGGTCTGCGTTGCACTGCTCAAGGCCTGAAGGGGGTTCGAGGCCAGGCCCTCCCTTCCCCACCGCCCACTTCCCGCTCGCCTGCCGACCCTCTCACCTGGTCCCAGGCGCTCACCACGCCCCCGGTGAACAGGAAGCCGTGGCCTAACGCGAGTAGCGAGGCCCACACGAGGCCTGACAGGGGGCGCGTCCAGCGCTGCAGTCGCTGCTCGCGGGAAGCGAGGCCCAGCAGCAGCGAGAAGCCGCCCAGCGCGCACAGCACAGTGGTCAGAAAGCTGGGGTCTGAGACTAGCTCCTGTGGGGAGGGGATGGTGAGGCAAAATTGTGGTGGGGAGCCTAGGGAGCTCGCCCAAGGACAGAAGGAAAGAACCAGACAGAGGAAGGGCTGACAGCTCCTCCGCCCAGTTCTGAGAAGTGTCTCAAACCCAAGAAGGAAAGGGGACCAGGCCCCTCCGCTTGCTATTCATCTTAGGTTGAACCATTTGAAGTTGTCTATTGTTGTTTTTAATCTAGGGTCAATGATCTCGTATGGTTCAACCTCTTCTCTAACTTGCATGCTGCTGCAGCGGCTGAGCCTGGAACACATACCCAGAAGACCGGGCTCCCACCCCATACTGGCTATTTGTGAATCCATGATCTTTCTGAGCCTCAGCTTTCACGTCTGTCCAACGGGAACCATGGCACCGCCTGGGGTCCTGAAGCAAGTGAAAGATCCTAGCTCATACAACGGCACATCGGAATGAATGTCTCCAAATCTGGCACTTTGCTCCAGGAGGTTCCCAGCCCGGAGCCCACGCGCGAAGCAGCGCTGGGACGGCAGGGGGCGCCGGAACCCGCAGCGCCCCTAACCTCCCTTGCCGTGGAAGGTTGCGATCTCGCCACCTGCCTCAGCTGCGGTGTGGAAGTCCCACCGCCTTCCCCGCCTTTTGACCCCACCTCTTCCCGGACTTCCGAGTGGGACATCAAGGACTGGCCGCGCCCCGTGATTTTCCCACCTTGCCTCCAAGGAGCCAAAAGAAAACCCGGAGCAGGCAATGTCCAGAAATGGAATTGAAGACCCTCTCCCTTCCTCCCCAGACAGGAACTGGAAGTAGGTTTATCTGGGGACTAAATGAGAGCGGGATGGAGGGTGCCTTCTGAGAGACTCTGGGTGCAACCGCCCCACATCCCCTAAAAGGGAGAGAAAACCAGGAAATAAATTCCCCTGGGGGGGGGGGCTGGTAAAATTTCCCCTCTGGAAAGTTGGAAAACCCGTAATGGATTTATTGTATTTTTTTTTTTTTTTTTTGAGTTGGAGTCTCACTCTGTCGCCCAAACTGGAGTGCAGTGGCCGCTTCCGGCCACCGCAGCCTCGACCTGCTGGGCTCTGGCGATCCTTCCGCCTCAGCCTTCCAAGTAACCGGAATTACAGGCATGTGCTACCACGCCTGGCTGATTTTTTGATTTATTGTAGAGATGAGGTCTCGCTGCCCAGGCGGGTCTCGAACCCGCGGGCTCAGGCAATCCACTCACCTCAGCCTCCCAAAGGCACGGAATTACAGGCTGAGCCACTGAGCCCGGATTTATTGTAGAACCAGCAGACCACAAAAGCTCATAAAGTGTGTTGGAACTCCCTCACAGAGAAGAGAAACACCCAGGACTCGACCACCTCCCTATGCAGACCGGGTGGAGTGACTTGCCCAAGGTCACTGCAATTCGTGGCAAGGTTTAACGCTTCTTTCTGGGCTCCCAGCAAAGAAAACACATAGGAAAGAAGACTCCACAAACGCAAACCCAGAAAATGCCCCCTAGGCAGTGACCCTCCCGCCGCAGAGGGAAGGCTAGGAGGAAGCCCGCCCCGAGGCCCTGCTCACCCTGCCGCTGGCCCAGGCCACGGCGAGCAGCGCCACCAGCGCGCAGAGCACGATCACCAGCAGCAGCAGTAGCAGCGGGTACTGCTGGCTCAGGCTGTAGTAGGTCTCGTAGAAGAGGTCTTCGCTGGGGGGCGGCCGGGGGCTGAAGAGGCGGGCCATGGTCTCCCCCACCCCGAGCCCCGGGTTACCTCCTGCGACCCGGCGGGCCCCACGGGGGCTGCCTCACCTGCTCCACGCCGCACCCCCAAGCTCGTGGCAATCCCGTCTCCTTTCAGACCCTGCCTGCGGCCTCCCAGGCCGCTCCCAGCTGGCGGTGAGGCGACTCCCCAGTCTTTCCCTCCTGCTCCCTCAAACCCACACTGTGGAGGTGCCCTAACAAAGCCTCATGGCCGGGGGACCGGGATTGTCCCGGGTTCCTCCTCCTGTCCCCTGAACTCACTGCCGGCGACGCTGCCGCAGCCGAGTCGGCTGGGCCCGGAGAGGGAGCCCGGGGGACCGGTGGTGGAGCCACGCTCGCTGCGACGCTATGGCTCAGAGCCCCAGGCGACAGGCGCTTCCCTCCCGGCGCCGCGGCCCCCCTCCCACTTCCCCGACGGGACAGCCCGGCCCCTTCCCGTGCGGGAGCCCGACTCCCTGGTCTCCTCCCCCACTTGGATTGTCTTTGCTAGCGTCATCGCTCCCCAACTTTGGCTTCCTCAAGGAAGGGGAATCTGGACAGTGGGAGAGATGTGGAGGGCCAAGGGTGGGATGGACCTAATGGGAAGAGTCAACGTGGGGGTGGAACTTGGGGATGCATGAGACTGAGGGAGGGCTGAGGGAGACTGAGGGAGGGCTGAGGGAGACTGAGGGAGACTGAGGGAGGGCTGAAGCCTGGCGAGGATGTAGAGAAGGGTGTGGGTCCCAGTGCCAGTGCCACATGGAGACTGGAATCTCCGTCACAGATGGGGGAACTCATTCCCTTGCTTCTCCACCCAGCTGGCAGCTGCTGTGGCTGTCCAAACCGACCATGCTCTTGGGTGTCCAGCTCGTGGGAGGGGGCTGTCTGTGTGTTGCTTGGTGGAGCCACAACTTTCTATCCTGTGACCAGCGGAGAATCAAAAGGGCTTCCACTCTCTAGGAAGCGACGTGGGTGCATGCGAGCATGTGGGGTGGGGGGAAGTGGCAGTAAGGGGGCTGATCTCTAAGAGCCCGGGGGTGTCTATGAGGCAGAGAAGGGCCAGGGTGAATTCTCACCCCGTCCCTTCCCAGGGCCTCACTGCGGAGTTAGAAGACCAAAAGAGAAGGGATCTCAGCCTCCACCCCTAGAATTTAGGCTTAGGGTGGGGTCACAGTCCCAGGCTCTAGAGGAAGCTCCCACCCTGATATTAGAATGGTCTGGGGAGTCAGGCTTCTGGGATTCCTTCCTGCTGCCACCAGCTGGGCCTTGACCTTGTGTGCCAGGCGGTTGCCCACTCCCAGCCCCCAGTATCCCCACTTCCTGCCTTGGTAGAGCTGCCTCCCCACTAACTCCTGCCCCCATCCCAATCCCTTCCTCCCCTGGCTTAACTCAGACTTTGGCTTGCATTCCATCACATTTATTGACTCCTGGGGGGCAGATCACAAAGTCAGTCTGGGCACAGGCTGGACTGCCCTCGAAGGAAGTCAGGGGTCACAAGGGCTGGTGCTCTTCCTCAACCCCTGGAGGCAGCTTAGAAATGACTTAATTCCCACTATAATTATACTGGCCCTGTGGCCCACTCCAGGCTTCAGGTTCTTTGCAGCCTTCTTTTGAATCTACTGGTGGGGATGCTGCCAGCCTCTACCCATGCCTGAGGGTGCCGGACCCTGCATGGGAAAGCCAGTCAAGTAGTTGTTGCTTCCAATCTGCACTCCATAGCAGTTCCATATGGTAAGAGATGGTGGCCCTTTAAAATAAATAGTGACGATGTTGGGAAGGTTTAGTGATTAGAAAGACAAAGAGAAGAAGGGTCGTGGCTATATCAAGGCGTGTGCCCTGTGCTTTCCTCTTCAGGCTGCCTCTCCAGAAATGGGTTTGCAGAAGCTAAAGGGAAGTGGCAACTGCCATTTGGGACCCTTTTTGCTGGGAGGTCCCCAGACTGCCATAACAACAAAGAGACTTAGGGAGCTCACAGACCTAGAGCTGGGGAAAGTTAGAAAAGCCAGGGATAAATGCAAGCTTTGTTGTGTAACCTCAGAGAGATTCTTTCTCAAAGGGTGTCAGTTGTTTTCATTTATTAAACAAGAAGCTTGGATTAGGTCGTCTTCTCCCCAACCCCCCACCCACGCCCTCAACAAGGTACCCAGAATCTATATGTAGGTCTTGAGGGAAAAGCCAGTGGAAGAATCGAGAAGGAAAAGAAAGGGGTGGAGAGTGGGTACCTGCGTTTGGATTTGGTTCTGGGCCCCAGGAGGACCAGTTCGTGCCATGTCCCTCAGCCTCCTGGAAACAACATGGAATGCAACATGGAGCTCTCAGGCCTGGCCTACACCTGGGTGTCCCACTGCATATCCTCTCAGCCCCAAATTTTTCCTGGCACGGGGACAGGACTCACAGGAGTTCTAGTACATCTCTTGATCCTACCAGTGTCTTACCGGATTCCCTTGGGGTCCATAACCTGGCGTCCCGGTCAAAGTGGAGCTGGGCATCTGGTTTCTGAAAGTTGAGGTCTCTGGAGTTTGGGGAGGTTGGGCCACTGAATCTGAAGCTATCCCTGCTGTCCTGGCATGCTGAACCTGCTCCTCCTGTGCCCTGCTCCGACTTGGGCATTTTTCAGGGACAGAGCTGGGGGACTCCTTCAGAGTCAGGTTTTTTAGCTGCTCATGAAGCATGGGATCATTGAAAGAGCACCGGCTTCTTGTTATTCCCCAAAAACCATCCACTTCTGTTCCTCTTTGGCTTGACTCTGGGGTAGACAATCTCCTGTTGCTGCTCCTGTGCTCAGAGAGAAACTTCTTTACCTGTGGGGACAGGAGGAGCTTGCTGGACAAGAATTGGGAGAGCCATGTCTTGGTCCATAATGTGTTGCCTGGGAACTCAGGGGTGGGGTGGGGTGGGGTGGGGTGGGATGGGGAAGGTGGGGATGAGGGTCAAGGCGCAAAAAACAGTGGTCAGTGGGGAGTCATGGCACGGCCAGGTGGTCATATTTTGCCATGTTGTATTGTGCTGACCAGCCCCTGGAGTGGGGTGGGGAATGCTGGGTGCTTACCATGGAGACAGCGGCATCTATCTTGTCCTCCACCAGAGAGAAGGCTTCACAGGTTTTTGTTTGGCATTCTGGAGGAACAGCAGAGTGGGTTGCAGGCATGCAAAATTTCTTTCCCTAGGAAAAACCTGCTGTCAGATCCGAGCCTACCCCAGCTGCTGGCTAGATGGTTAGCTCACCCTTGAAGGAGGGCCTCTTCTTAGGCTCATGGAGCCAGCAGCACTTCATTAACTCTGACAGTTCTTTCAAGCCAGGAGTCTCAGGCGCGGATCGGATCAGGTCAGGCGTTGGTGGCCGGATCTCCCTCTCACATACGGCGGTACGCACCAGTGATGTCTGGGCCTTCTCCACTGGGGTGGGGGTAGGGGATGAGATGAGAAGGCACTCAGGGTATGGGGGATCACTTGCTCCATCATGGAAAGAGTCAGGGAGTGGAGTCCAAGAGAGGGTGGTGAGGAGCCAGGAGGGCAGTCTAAGTAAGTAAACAGGAATGGGAAGCCTTTCGGGAAGAGGGCATTTGGGGTTAAGGAGCCCAGAGTCTGCCTAGAGTCTTACCTTCAGCTTCTCTTCCTGCTAGTACTGTCCACATTAGGATTCCGAAGCTGCAGGAAACACAAAGCTGAGGGCTGGCTTGGCTACTGGCAAGACTCCTCTTCCATATATCACCCCCTAAAAGGGTCCAGAAAGGTGTAGGAATCTGGGGTGTGTGTTTGGGGTGGATGACTTACCTGTAGACATCGCTGGCTTTGGAGGCCTTCTGGTTTACGTTACTAAACAGTTCTGGGGCCAAGTAGGCCAGAGTGCCTCCTGGTTCCCTGGACCCTGCCCCTGACTGTGAGCCTCCCTGAAATGTGGACAGGCCAAAATCTGCCAGCTGCGAAGGAAGGAAAGAAGGAGGAGATAGGGGGCACGGAGGAGGCCAGGCAGCCTCCAGAACCTTCCATCCCCTCCAGAACGTACAAGCACAGCTTTGAAAAGAGGGTGTGGAGGTTGAGAGGGAGGGTAGAGTCAGTGGGGCCCTTGGATGGGAGATCTAGGTGATCCGTGGGTGGCTCTGGGTCAAGGTCTGAGTCTCCCGGGCTAGGCCAGCCATGGACCTTTGGAGGGCCTGGTAGGGTCAGAGCCTCTATCACCTGATATGGCATGGGCTAAAATTCCTGGCTGGACTTTGACCCCTAGCAGCCTGTGTCCAGAGGGAGGGACTGAGTTTATCCAATAAACAGGGCTGCCACAAGTCCTGGGTCCGGTGGGCGGGGCCGGACCAGCTCTGGGGCGGGGCCTTGTCCCAAGGCTGCAAGGGGTGTGAATGGGCTGACCTTGGCGTGCAGATCTGAGTCCAGCAGAACGTTGGACGGCTTGAGGTCCCGGTGCAGGAGCACGGGGTTCTGGCTGTGCAGGTAACACATCCCGAGCACCACTTCCTGCAGCAGGCGGCAGCGGAGGGGCCAGGCCTGAGGACACTGGGGCTGCAGCATCCCCGCCAGGGACCCGTTCTCCATGAAGTGAGTCACCAAAGCCGGCCTGGGCATGCCGTCCCACTCCAGGTTCTCGGCGACTCCCATTAGGTGCAGCACGTATTGGCTACGCAGACTTGCCATGGCCTTCACCTCCCTGGATATCGCCTCCCTGCACCCCAGGAGAGAGCCGGAGTCGCACGCGGGTCCTGGGAAGACCACTCCCTTCCCTATTCAGGCCCCGGAGCAAAGCGGCTCCGCCTCCTCGGCCGGTTCCCGGCTGGCCCGCGCAGGGTTCACTCACGAGTTCACGATCTTGACCGCCACATCGTGGCCCCACGCCCTATGTCGCGCCCGGAACACGGTGCCGAAGCCACCTTTGCCGACGACCTTCGGGTTCTCCAATTCCTCGATGTCCACCACGCTGGCGGGGGCACCGTAGAGCCTGAGAGAGGGGTCCCGCCCACTAGCTGGTCACGTCCGCTCTGCTCCCCCCATTCCCTTGACTCAGCGCCGGCACCACCGTCCCCAGCCTCCCTTCGGGTCCCCACCGTCCCGGATCGCAGAGGCATGTCTGCGGGGCGCTCGGTGTGTGAACGTCGGAGGCTGAGGGTCGACGCCCCGCTACCCACTCACCATAACTTGACGCCAGACATCAGGCTGGAAGGCGCGAGGGGCTTCTGGAAGTGGCGAGCCGCAGGGATCGAGTGACTTCTGGGCCTGGAGTCTTTGGAAGAGAAGGGGAAGGGGGTCTAGAGAGGGGTTGGTTTCTAGACCAAGGTGGCGATTCCGCTTCCCGGGTCACTACCCCAACTCCGGGGGCCTTCACCAACTTCCTTCCCCTCCGGGCTCCTCTACAGTCCCGCCCCCGGGGTGTGGGGCGGAGCTAAATGGTACTTTTCTTTCTGCTTAGTGTTTCCTGTGCACCTGCTGCGTGCCGCGGCCACGTTAGGTGTAGCTGGGCGTTGAGGGTGCCACGGAGGAGTCTGCACCTTCCTGGGACCCACAATCAACCCACTCCTACAGCCAGTGTTTCTCCCTTTTTCCACGGGATTTCCTGCTTCACCACCTGCCAGGCCAGGGGTGGGGAGGAGATGGTGCTTAGGAAGGTTTTATCATTTTAGGGCTCAGCTCTCTCACAGCTGGCCTAAGAGCATAGCTAACACTTCCATAAAGCTTATCATGTGCCAGGTACTCATGCAAGCAAGGGTGTTTAATTCTCTTATTAACCCTAAGGGGATAGATACGGCTTCTGTTACCTTTTTACAGATGTGGAAACTGAGGCACTGATAGTGTAAGTACCTTGCCTAAGTCCATATGGAAATGATTTAGAGCCTGGCTCTGAACTATCAAGTTATCCTATTTTTCATAGGCTTAAGAGGGGTACCATCTAGCTCATTGTACAGGTGGCCAGGGAAGATGTGAAGCATCTAACAAACAGTGTAGTGAAGGGTCCCTATCTGTATTCTCTGACTTCCCCACTCACCTCCCCAGTTCCTGACAGGTGTTCTTGCTGAGACAAGCCCCTAGCATTGATAGGGACTTAATTGCCCCATGGATAGGTGCTCCTGGAGATGGTAGGCCCAAGACCCACTCCCAAGGCATTATGGTCAGACCAGATTATTGGTCCAGCCAGAGGGTTGCTGGCAATATGGTGTACACTGCAGTGAAATACCCTGGAGCTTTCCTGCACTCTCCCTCACATAGAAACTCCTTCATGCAGTTATCTCACATAAATTCATGTTCCTGACAAGCATGTGCTCCGGTCACAGGCCTTTGAGAACTCAGGAGATGGAGAGCCTTATGGATTTAAGGTAGACAAAAGGTGCCTACTGTCGGGCTCGGTGGCTCAGCCTGTAATCCCGCGCCTTTGGGAGGCTGAGGTGAGTGGATTGCCTGAGCCCGCGGGTTCAAGGCCCGCCTGGGCAGCGAGACCTCATCTCTACAATAAATCAAAAAATCAGCCGGGCGTGGTAGCGCGTTCCTGTAATTCCGGCTACTCGGAAGGCTGAGGCGGAAGGATCACTGGAGCCAGCAGGTCGAGGCTGCGGTGGGCAGGAGCGGCCACTGTACTCCAGTCTGGGCGACAGAGTGAGACTCCAACTCAAAAAAAACACCCCAAAACATGCCTACCCACATTTGATCCCCTAGGCCTGATCATGTCTGGAGGTTGTGGAAACTAGATAAGTTCAGCCGTTGGTGTTCAGTCCTTCTCGGGGAGACCCAATCTTGTGGGTTATATGTTGGCTTTCACTAAAAGTTGCTCACTTTGGTACCTGCTTTCCATTCTGTCCTTTGGCCCATGAGCCTTGCTACCTGGGGCAGAAGTGACTAGCAGTTAACTATGTTTTCTAGAACAACTGGGAACTCCAAAATCCACACTCTGCCTTCTAGTGAGGTCAACTCATGCTGTTTTGGAGCTATTTAGGGAATTCTTAGACTCTAGTCTCCTTAGAAGCCAGTATATAGGTCTGACAATTAAGTTTGTGAGTTTGCAAACTTGCCACCATGTGCTTACATTGGCAGAACTGTACAAACAACTTGGTAGGGTTTCATAACCTTGGTGTATCCACTCACCATGTCTCACAGCTGTGTTTCTGTCGACATGTGGCATTGTCTTATTGAGTGGTATTCATTATTGCTGTTGCATGTTTTTGTGTGCCTTCAGGAGAAAGTCAGAGCTTGAATTAGAGCAATGAACAAACATTACATTTCTTGTTAACATTGGCAAGAGGGGAGGTAAAATTAGCAACATGTTAGTCCAAGTTTATGGGGATAATGCCATGAAGAAAATGATGGTGTACAAATGGATTAAACATTTTTCTGAGGGGAGAGAAAGCATCACTGATGAAGAGAGGTCAGGATAGCCAGTAATGAGCAGAACTGACAGAATGTTGAAAAAATTGTTGAATTGTGTACCAAAATCGCTGGCTGACTATGAGAAGCATAACAGATTATATAAATATCGATAGAGAAACAGTTAGGAAAATCTTAACTGAAAATCTTGGCATGAGAAAGTTGTGTACAAAAATTGTCCTAAAGGAGCTCTTGCATCATGACAATGCACCAGCTCTCACAGCACTGTCTGTAAGGGTGTTTTTAGCCAGTAAACAAATAACTGTATTGGAATACCCTCCCTACTCTCCTGATCTGGTTCCCAATGACTTTTTTCTTTACCTGAAGCTAAAGTAAATATTGAAAGGAGACATTTTGATGACATCCAGAACATCAAGTGTAATATAGCAGCTCTGACGGCCATTCTAGAAAAAGAGTTCCAAAATTGCTTTGACGGGTGGACTAGGCACTGGCATTGGTGCATAGCTTCCGAAAGATGTTCTTTGAAGGTGACCTTAGTGATATTCAGCAATGAGGTATGTAGCACTTTTTCTAGGATGAGATCGTAAACTTAATTTTCAGTTCTCATATGGCAGATGCCCAATAAATATTTGTTGAATTGAATTCATAAAAGAACAACCAACAATATTGCGCCTTCCTTAAGACACTGATCACCCTAGATGGAGCTCCATATTCATTGGAAGGAAAGAGGAGATTGGACTTCTTTATGGTCTGGGGGCTGTCATCTCTACACTTTTTGGTTTACATTAGAAGACAGTTCTGGGGCCAAGTAGGCCAGAGTGCTCCCTTCTGAATCCATCTGAAGTAGATGTTGGTATACAGCATATGGGACCACTGCACAGAATCCAAGAAGGCAAAAAGTTTAGCAGGTCCTCAGAAAAGCCTAGTCAGCAGCTGAGAACCATCAGAAAGGACAGTCACTCCCTTCATGGTTCTTTTCCGAGAGAATACTCTGGGCTCTATAACTCTACTTGAGAGGAACAGGCAGAAATGAGTTAGAAAAGTGTCTACTGGCCTCTTCATGACTAGATTTCTCCAGGTTGGGACAAAGTCCTGAGAAACAGAGACAAGCCACTCTGAAGCAGAGGGCTGGGGGTGATGTCAGGGTTTATATTACTTTTTTGATTCAAAATAAACTAAGCCCCAGCCGGGCATGGTGCTCACACCTATAATCCCAGCACTTTGGGAAGCAGAGGTGAGAGGATTGCCTGAGCTCAGAGGTTTGAGACCAGCCTGAGAAACAAGGCACGACCTCATCTCTACAATAAATTAAAAAATCAGCCAGGCACGGTGGCGCATGCCTGTTTTTCCAGCTACTTGGAAGGTTGAGGCGGAAGGATCATCTGAGCCTAGCAGTTTGAGGCTGCGGTGGCTGTGAACGTGCCACTGCACTCCAGCCTGGGGAACAGAGTGAACTCCGATTCAAAAAAATAAAAAAATTAAAATAAACGAAGTCTCTTGAAACAAAAGAGAGGAGGAGAAGAGCCGAGTGTGAGTGTCTCATAAAACCCTCAGCTTCCAGTGAGTGGGCTTGGACCTAGGCAGAGTTGATTCTTGGATTTTGGAGTTCCAGACTTTCAACCACAGTAGTCCCAGGCATTTGAGTCTACTTGAATGTTTCTCATCCATTTACTTTTCTGCCCCTGATTGTCTCTGATTATTAGTGTGAGCTGTTTCCCTATTCCTGGTTGTTAGAGGGGTGGAAAGCCGGGGGATGGATGTGATCTCTCCTTGCTTAATCTAGTCTTAATTTCATCTGTTGTTTGAGTAAAAGATTCCTATTACAGACCAAATGATATTAATTGAGGTCACAGTAAAAAATTATGGAGAATTTTTATTTTCCTTAGTGTTTGAATGCTTTTACATTGAGTACATATTAATTTCATAAATAGTTGAACAGGAAAGAAGATCATGATACATGCAAAGGATATTAGTTATAAGGATATTCACTGAATGTATTGCTTATAATAGTGAAAAAATGGGACCCTAAATTTCCAATAATAGGAAAAATATTGAATACGTTATGCAGTGGAAGACTATGAAGCCATTGAAATGATGCTGCCGACTTGCTTTTTAATCTGAAGGTGTTTATCATACAAGTGGGGAAAAAAAGCACATTATAAAAAAATATGTACTACACTATATAGTCACTTTTTTTGAGTTTGTTTTAAAAACCCTCTTCCAATAGATTTTATAGAATAGAATAGATTTTTTTTTTTTTTTAGTTGGAGTCTCACTCTGTTGTCCAGGCTGGAACGCAGTTGCACACTCATGGCCACTGCAGCCTCGACCTGCTGGGCTCAGAAGATCCTTCTCCCTTAGCCTTCCAAGTAGCTGAAACTATAGCTGTGCGCCACCACACCCAGCTGATTGTTCTTGATTTATTGTAGAGATGAGGTCTTGCCAAGTTGTCCAGGCTGGTCTCCAACCACTGGGCTCAGGCAACCCTCTTGCCTTTGCCTCCCATAGTGCTGGGATTACAGGCATGAGCTGCTCCGCCCGAGCTGGATTTGATATTCTCAAAACCTCCCATTGCAGAATACCTAAATGCTATAGAAAGTACAACAAACATGCATTTTAAAACTCATTAATGAGTTCACAAGGAAATACAGATAATTCCCAAGGGCATCCCCCGAAACCAGCAAAATAAGATAATACAAATCAAAAAGTAAACAGTAAGTAAAAAGAGAAATTAACTAACTAGACACCTAGAGCTTTGGGAACTAGGTAGGGGTATAGGGCTTGGGGGAGAAACTGAAAGTAAACCCTGGGGCCTAGAAGATGTGGAATGAATATAAGA